GTAGTGAATATTATTAAGTAGTTGCCTTGTTGGAGATGTGTTGACACATTCATACTGTGTCAACACTGTGACATTCAAAAAATTCACTGTTCTCTGCTCTCACCCCACACTGTGAATTCCTATCTCGCGGTTACAGAAAATTCAGTAAGTTTCATAAGTGCTTGCGTTTTTCGCATCAATTTTATTTTTCTTCGTCCTCAATTTGCCTTGTTGACCTGTTTACAGTTTGATTTACTTTAAGACGTAGAATGTGGAAGATAATTTATTTTTAGGTATTTTTGAATCTTATTGTTGAAATTTTGGTAGATTTGTGCTCGATGTAGCTTTTTCTGGTGGTGAGTGCATATTTGTTGGAATTTTATGATATTGTTGCTATTTTGAGTTGGCTTACTGATGAAACATGAAAGTGTTAAATCCTTCTGGCATCAGAAATCAGGGGCTCCAGTCAGGGCTTAGATTATATACTCGTTTATCGCGTAACATAATTGTGCTCCGTGAATCGATTATTTATCAGTTTAATTGAGCTTTGGTAAGTTTTACTTAATATTCTACAGGAGACTGAGCCCTCCTCCAATGATGTCCTCCAAAAGATTGTCTGCCAATGGCGGTTTTAACAGCCAGCCGAGTAGTTTCAAGCACCGAAGGCTGAGCGCCATTCGGACTTTCCCAGACAACTGTGGGCCCCTCGCTACAATATCCCCAAAACCAATTGACGCGCGTGACTTGACATTTGAGCCCCTTGCCGATAAGATAAATAAAAGAGGAAGTGAAAAGTCGGCTAATAGCACAAAGTATGCGATGGCAATACCAGCCGTGCCATTGAGATGTGTACCACCGCCGGCTAGTTTTGAAAATGACTCGAAAAATTCCGTGCCATATGCGGAAAATGATGATGGTTGGAAAGAAGGAGCTAAAGAGGACGAGAATAATGCGTGTTCGCTTGACGAGTTGTGGAAGCAGGACTCGGACAAATTAGCAGCCATTGTTGCGGAGGCTAAAAGATACTTCAATGCCTTTGATGTTAAGTGTTCTGAGAAATCACCGGACTTGCATAGACGTTCGCCGATCGTGGAACCAAATCCTGAGTTTGTGGAACAAGAAAAAAGTGCGCAC